ATAATAGTATATTATTATATGAGCATATAATGAGGGCTATTATTCACGAAGGTTAAGTTTATGTCACGAGCGTAGCGAGTGGCATAATTAACCTGAGTGAATAATAGCTCATTATATGCGAGTAGAATACTATACTTTGTCCACGACTATTGAAATTGATTCCATAAATTTATTTTTTAAATAAATTTTTGAATAAAGGTTAAACGTCAATGTGACACAAATTCAATGTTACTAACTGTAACCAACTTCACAACAATTTTTCAAAATTAAATGACAGTTTTATAAAACGTCGTTTTCTTTACGAAAATTAATTAATTTATGCTTAAATCATACGAAAAAAAGGAATTTGCTTAGGTTTTTTAATGTCAAACATTTAGAAACTCCTAAAAATTTGAATTAAATTGACGTTTTTTGAACTTTTAACGTTTCAAATAATTATTATTAGTCTGGTCAAGATGGCTACCCGTGAATAATGATTATTATTCACTCCGTGAAAAATGACTACCATTGTGTTTCAGAAAACTCATTCATAAGGTATATATTATAAGGTAGTCGTGGACAAATAAATTAATGTGAGATTTACCTTCCTTTTTCTAAATAAATAACTTTTAGTTGATTCAAATTTAGGATGATCGAATAAATGTACTTCAATAACAGGGGCAATGATGGTGTATTGCATAACTTGTATGGGAATGTTTTCGTTTAAAGCGTCGTAATCATCAGTTGAAGGTGGTTGTAAATCAACTTTTGATGGGGGGTGTGATTTTTCAACTATATAAGGGGCGTAATCATAAGCTGAAGCAGCAGCCACCATGCATTCAACACGGTGAATTAATCCAGCACAAACTTTCACTCGAATTGGACCAACAACGATTCTTAATAAAGTCCTTACTAAAATGTTACTAAAACGGAATTAATTAAAAGCCATAACCAATAATTTATTTAAAAATCTTGAACCAACCTATATTCAAGATTTGTGATATCCGACAGTTGATCAGAAGTCATATCATCTGGCACAACAACTTCATGGACAAAATCGACCGCAAAAGCAGCCGTTCTATCCAACATAGTTGTTTCAGTTACGTGGGCAACATGGTAATCCCATGAAACGTTATACAATTTTCGTTGCCCTTTATTTTCAACGGCTTCCGCGTCAAATAGCGAATCAGTTTTGTGATTTTCAGTAACGGAACCTGCTTATTACAAAAAATAAATATTTAAAAAGAATTTTAATTTTAAATTGCTTATAACCTGCTGAAAAATAACATTGAACTGAATTTTCTTCAAAAATATCAACGACACCACAAGTACACAACCCCAATGGTTGAATCTCTATATTTCCAATCCCCGCTTTGGCGTTAACCCATTTCAAGCCGTGAATAATAGTTTCCGAATAAAGACCTTGCACTTTTAAAAGCAACAATGGGTAATATTTGAGTTTCTTCTGCGAATAATAACTTCGATCGCTGCTACTTTCCGAAACCTGCGAAGCTTTTTTTTATTTACTAAACAAAAAAAGTAACCGAAAAGATAACCGATAAAATTCGAAATATAACTTACTTTAAAAACTAAACACGTTGTGTCTACGTAAAATCCGATGTGTAACGTGTGTCCTGTTGGAACGATCGGTTGTTCTTCTCCTCCTGGTTCATCTTGTGACGAACGAATTGATGGTACAAATGACCATATCCAGCCGGCCCAAGAAGTGGTTGTATCATTCGGTTCAACTATAAAAAAAAATTTATTTTATTCAATCAACCATGTCATGACGGGCGATTTCAATGCAACATTATCGGACAACACGATCTTGGAGAAAGAAATGATAGGACATAACATGAAGAACAGAACGAAGATCCAAGTGGCACACTGGACAAATGGCTAACATTGTTGTAGAAGGAGCAAAAAAGACGTTCAACAGACGATGAGAGAATAGGAATGGGAATGTGGTACCGGATTGACTGATTGATGTACAGGGTGGGCAAATTTCGGTGTTATTATAGGCGAATAAAACGAATAAAAACTTTGAATAGTTGATTTAAATTTCTCAGTGTCTTATCCCTGACTTTGTTCACCAATAAAAAATGATTTGTAGATAAAGTTTGTTTATTAAAAATACAAGAAACGTATTAATTAATGAATAATTAAATATGAACAACAACTTTAGGAATTAAACAGTCACAGACTGTGTCATCTTCTTCTACTAAACTTACTGGTTGTAAGGTTAGAAGTTAGAACAGTTGGGTATTAATGAATGAAACCTTCAGTAGTATCTTCCCAGTTTTCCCCAACCATGAGATTTAGAAGTTTTTTCATATTAGCAACCTTTTCTTTTGAAATTGGGTGAGATAGAGGAAGATTAGGGATCATAAACTGGGCAGCGGACTTTCCATTGAAACGATGTTTATATGGGATATGGACATTTTTTAATTTTATCGCTTTATGTATTTAAAGATAATGAGGAATTTTTAAGCGGGAAACTCGCCTCGAAAAATTCATGAATGAAATGATCAGTAAACTCACGTTACTATAGTAACTAAGTGGCATTTAACGTTTTCCTCGCCTACTATAATTAAAATTTTGAATATTAATCTTTAATATTTTAGAATTAAAAAATAACGCTTATTTTCCCCAAATACACCATGCGTGCAATACATCATTGGAAAGCTAAAAATATGCTCTTTTCAGTAACACCATAATCTACTATAGTTTGTATTTAAAAAAAAACAACTTTGTGTTGTATCTCAAAAATCATCAA